CTTTTTCCTGTCCTCTCCACCCTAAAGTTCGTTTTTTTTCAAAAAAATAAAATTTGTGCTAGACCTGAAGTTATAATGAAGTGAAATTGTGACCAGGAACAATATTTTCTTATTACGAACTGCCAAGCTTTAATTCTCTGTTACGAAAAGCACAGTTGGCAACACTTGACTTCACTCTTGTCTCAAACAAAAACAAAAACAACAACAGCGAAAATAATCTGCACAATATTACATCGTTTCTTAATCTTAATCCTATTTCCGCTGGCATTGGCATATTAGTGGTTAGAGTTTGGAAATTTTATTTGGTGACAAGGAAAAGAGGTAAGTGGAACAAATGTCGGTTGAAACGCACAAGCGAGGCTGGTGTTGGTTTTTCGTTATGATTCATAACGTCGTGTGAGTAGTGGGGAATACAGCCTGCTCTGATGCCTTGACAGACAAAGACTAATCACTAACAATTAACTCTCATTGAGTCGTTTGAAAAAGATTTTGTCCGAGGAATAGCCTAAAACTACTTAAAGGAGTTAAAATAGACATGCGCCATATGTATTCCATAAGTCGCAGAACATGCTTCAAACAACATTATTTGTAGTTGCTGGCCCTTCAAGCACTTTCCCAAACTTGTTCATTTGGGCTGATGCATTCACATATAATCGTTTCTGTGTTTTCATTCAGTATTATAACCGCCATGTCCAAGCAAGGGTTTGTTGAAGCTGCTGCGCAACCATCGCTTGTGCCTTCAGCTCCACCTTCGTATGATGAAGCCATGCAGCAAGCTAGTGCTCTGGCACCAATGCCAGGCCATTCGGTTCAGCAGCAACCAATGGCCATGCCAATGCCTCCACCACAAGCAATGCCGATGTCTCAGTATCCATCTCAACCAATGCCTATGCCTATGCCTATGCCCATGCCCATGCCCCAACCTGGTCCTTACTATCCGTCCGGACCAGCTGCCTCAACTGAGGGTATGTACTGAATGTTATTTCTATCTTTCATTTCATCTTGTTCTGTTGGTGGTTTTTCAAATGCATCTCTTTATAATAATTTTATTATTAACAGTAAATGTACAAACAGTTCATTCTGGTGGTCCAACTGTAGTTTACACTTCTTTGGGTAGAGACAGTGCTCTCACTGTTTGTCATAAGTGCAATTCTCAAGTAATGACTTCTACAAATACAAGCAATAAGTGTTTAGCTCATTGTTGCTGCTGTTGCCTCATGTTATCGTAAGTACTTGTTTGTGGTTTCTCACAGTGATGAGACAAAAAGATGCAACCTACATTAAACAAACATATTTCTTCCTTCTTAGGGGAATAGGTCTGCTTTGCTGCTGTCTTCCCTACTGCATGGATTCATGCAAAATAGTGAAGCATTCATGTCCCAATTGTAAGGCAACTTTGGGAACGTACAGGCCATGAGGGTGAATAATCATGAACAACCTTATGAGGAATGTGATGTTTGTAAGTTTCCATCCGACCTGCATTTTTAAACTATAATCGTTAATGTTCATGTTCCACATTTTCAATCCATTATTTTTTTGTATGAATGGTTGCATGGTATATTGTGTATTTTCTCCAGCGTGGACTCTTGCATTTTTGTTTAGCAGTTGCTTGAAGAATCCAGTTATTGCTGTTATCCATCCATCTAATCTATGACATCAGTCATTCAGTGGTATTAAATAAAGAACTTGCTATTTCCTTTCCTCCTGTCTCAGAGCAGAGCTTGTCTATAGTTTAGGAACGAACTCCTCTGGAAAACAATTTACTGGAATACCATTTGTAACATTCTGCAAGTATGTACTGAAAATAAGATATAATTATCTCTAATCTAAATTCTAAGAAAGTAAGCATCTACCAATTAAAGGTTTAGATGACACAATTATTATTATTTTATACTGGTAAAGTGATAATCATAAGAATGCTATGAAGATGGTTGAGTTTATATGGTATTTTCTTAGATCTGTGGTTCAGTTATCTCCTCAGTTTTTGTAATAATTTGATCAAGACCTTTTTTTTCCTGTACAATTTGTGTCATTACATAAATTGCATCCATTTGTGCCTTTAGTGTAAGCATACTGTTTTTCTGAGATCTATGTTAAATGGCCATGTTATTGAAAGAACACATTCTGTATTAGAGACTGAGTTCTAATCTACTTAATCTCATAAGTATGGTTTTGTACAAATTTTGTTACCAATGTGCTCATTGCAAAGTTGCTTGTATTTACAAGAAAACCAAGCCCAATGAACTTACAGGGTATTATCTCAATGATGTTATACCCTTTCATGGGAGGAAGGGGGGGGACATTGACCTAAGTGTTCTCGTCCAATCCACTTTTCTTTGTATTTTGTTAAAAACTTTAGTGATAGATTTTTAGAAAAGTGCTTCTGTTAGTATTCCATTTATTTTGTTTGGTCGTTTTTTAAGCTTTTGGAAAATATATTGGAATGGGGTAATTTTTACCCTGGCTGTGACTGCACTTTGGTCATTCCAAATCCTGTGAAAGTGAAAGTGGCTATTGTTATTGCTCAAATAAGTTTTAAAAACACCACATACTTGTGAACGTCAGATTCACTTTGACTTTCGGTGCTTTGTATTTTTAGTTTTATGTATCTGAAAACAAAAATAAAATTTTCAAAAAAGTTCAGCTTAGTTTTCGTGTGTTGCCCTCTGTACTTAACATATTACAGAAAGACAAAACTACCACTGCATTTGTTGTGGTTTTAAGGAGGGCCCCACGACGACTATGCGCTGCGCAGCGCACGTCAGTGACGCTGATAAGTGCTCCGGATCTGACCCCGCTCCTATCGGCCTCACTACCGTCCTCCTCGGGGCGGGGCGCGGCTGTGGTGGGATGTGGACGGTCCGGACGGCCCTATCCGTGGGGAGGGATTATTCGGGGCGGATTGATGGGCGAATGGGGGCGAGAATGTGGAAACGCGCGCCTCCGCTCGGCGGAGCCGACAGCCGGGGCAGCAGGGCCCTGGCTTGGCCTTCTACCCGGGCGACGGTCGTTCGTCGAACGGCGAGGTCAGCAGCGCCGGCCGCGAGGTTGTAGCGGGGTGGTCGGGTCAGCCGCTGCTTCCTCTTACTTCTGCGAGTCGGGGGGCCTTCCCCCACGGACTATTTAGCGGCATTGGCACTCACGAAGTACAGTTTGAAGCAATGACCACTATGTGGTCACGAGTGTGAGTGAGCGCGGCGTGGCCAGGCGAGCCGAGCGAGGAGTCAATTTTTTCCCCTCTACTAGGTCGGTTGGAGTACGCGCCACCAGAGGTTGCCGACGTCTCGAGTTACGATTGCTTAGGGAGGGTAGGCAGGCGGACTGCGCGGCGGTGGCGGAGCGTGGCGGAGGGGGAAAAATAAAGAGCCCGCGTTACAAGGTTGTGGGTGACGCATCTCTTCCGCCGGTTACTTTAGGCCCCGCAGCAGCCTGACCGTGCCTTACGCCTTTTCGCCCGTCGGATGTGCGGCCAGTAAGTTAGGTCTGCGGGAGGACGGAGGGGAAAAGGGGAGGAGGGAGGCGTTGGACGAGGGCGAGAGAAGGAGAGATATCCTCGCCGAGGCCCGGTCTGAAGCCCGGCCCCACAGCGCCACGGCACGCCACCGAGTGCTTCACGCCGATGGCCCGCCCCTCGGCCCGCCCCCGGCCCGCCCCCGCGGCCGTCTCGTTGAGCTCTCGCCTCTCGCCCTGGCGCCCACCCTCCTCCGCAGGCAGGGTGGGGCGAGCCGGGACGACTGCACTTTGAATTTCCTGCTTCCTTAGGGCCTTAGGGAACGTCGGGGAGGAAAAGTACACCCCCATAGCCCCACCCCGCCGCGGGGTCGGAGGGGTGGTCTCCGACCTGGTCTCCGCGACCCCACGACCACCGATAATTCACCAGGGCGAGATTCGCGGGACGAGCTCTTACCCCCTTTTCTTCACTCGTTCAATATTTCAGGCCCGCACCGTCGACGCGGTCCCGGTCCCCACCTGGGCGACCCTCAGCCCCCTCCCTCCCTCGCGCCCTGGACTCGCCACTGTTTCTGCCAACGCCCCCCTTTCCACCCTTTACTCTCTCCTAACTATCGCCAACCGCCTGGGGTCACTTTTATTTCCACAGGTCATTTCGATCAGACTCGACCCCTCCGTGTGTCCGGCCCGGGGGGAAGGGGGGGGGGGGAGGGGGCTGGCACGAGCCCCAGCCTTGCCAGGCAGATAGGGTCCCGAGGGGAGGAAGAGGGGAGGTGTGGTCTGGTTGGGTTCCAGCTTGGCCTTGCTGTAGCTCTCGTGTGTGTGTGTGTGTGTGTGTGTGTGCGTGTGTGCGTGTGTGTGCGTGCGCCTGTTAGCTGGGCAGCCCTGTGCCGTGCCGGCCGAGGGGTGGGGGTGCAGATAAGAGTAGAACATCAAGTAAAGACCGTACTCACCACCCCCTCCCCCGCTCAGCCCCACACCGCCACCCTCGCAGCCTCCCCGGCCTTGTCCATAAAAATGGCGCTGCTGCTAAGTGCTGGCGAGCATTTCCCCCTCATTTTCACCAGAAAAATCTGAATATCGTGTCGTATTACAAAATGTTATGTGAAGTCCCCGGCTGCCCTCCCCTCCCCCCATCCCTTGTATACCTCCTGCACCCTCGTCTCCCCCAATCCCATCGCACACTTGCCGCGATGCTTTTCTACTTGCCCACGTAACAGGTCGAGTCGGCAGGGAAGTTCAAGAAAATGGAATGGGAGGGGGGAGGGGGGGGGAGTTGGTCTAGGCTTCCCGGAAATGGGTTTCCCCGTACCTCCAATGACTGGAATCCGGTCAGATTGATGTTGAGGGAAACTTGGCTTTGGCCGTTTTGGCGTGGGCCCCACGTCCGCCCGCAGGGCTCAGCAGGACTGCGCCCTGGGGTGAGGGGGAGAGGGGGGGCGGGGTAGGACGGGGAAGGGCCATCTTCCTAGGGGCCCGGACGGGTCCCTGGATTTGCCTGGATTTGGCTGGGCTGACCAAGTGGGTGCCAAGTCCCAACCCTTCCGGGCCCTCTGGGCCACTCTTAAAAAGTAAATCACTGCATTTCGTTGTTTTTTTTATTATTTTGGATGCCCCAAGTGCCACCCTACCAGCTGTACAACTGCTTTAGTTGAGAAATGCGACATAGTCGCCGTTCGGGGGGCACACATCGAGGCACACATTTACCAAAGGCAGTTACCAAAGGCAGGAAGGCCCAAGTCACACAGCCTATTTGTAGCTAGTTTTAAAGATTTAGTCTCAACACTAATTGCAGTCCTGAAAGAGCTCATTGTTTCTCACCGTAATGAGCAATGAGCAGAACCACTTTTTACCCGCTCTCCGTGGTGCGGCATTCGTCCATCGCTGTTCTGAAATGTGAATTATTGAAAATTGTCCAAGTTGGCCACTATTCGAAAGGAGACGGACATGCAAAGATGTGGTCATGTGTTCGTGTTCAGCCCTCTTACTTCGGGGGGCGTGCCCCATTGCCGTCTTTTTTTAACCACATCATCCCCTCGTTTTATGCCTTCCACCACCCCTCCCCCCCATCCTCCCCGGGAGGCGGGCCGGGCTGGCCGGACCCCCCTACGGGGTGCGGGGGGACCATTCATGTCGACTCCTTGGCCGGCGTCCAGGCCGCTAGCAGCCTGCCCCGCCCGCCCCGCCGTGCTCGGGTCCTGGAGGCCGGCGTGCCGGACCCACCCCGGACCGTCGTCGGCCAGCAGCCCCCGCCCGGCCCGGCCGCAGGCAGGCTGCCGCACAGCCCAGTGGAGTAGCACCGACCAGACCACCTCGGGCTGCACCCCCCCTCCCCTCCACCCAACCGGCGACCTAACCTAAGACTTCCTTTATTTCTCGCCCATCGCGGATGTCTCGGTGAGATAGCCGCGGGTGCAGGAGCCGCTGCGGGCCACGGCTGCGCCCCGCTGGTCTGCTGGTCCGCTGGTGTTGGCTCCCTCATTCGCCAAGTTAGACCGGCGGGTCCGGCGGTGTGGTGTCCAGCGGTAATGGCTCCGGGCGAGGCGACGGCCAGCGGGGACCAGCGGGGACCAGCGGGGACCTGGGATGGCTGGGATGCCAGCGGCAGCAGCTACTACCCCCTTACCCCCTTCTCCTCCGTCTTGCGAAATAGCCGCCGGTTGTTTTCCACCGCACGCCCCGCCGTGGCATTTCCATTCGTATCGCTCCGACGACCACTTTTGTGTTAACTGGAAGAGGTTCACGACGCCCCGGTCAGTGGTACGAGAGTACGGGAAGGGAATTCCCACGACACCAAAGGGCGAGGTCCTGAGCGTTCACGTGAAGGGCAGAGGCGTCTTCAATCGCCTTCGGGAAGGTGCAGTGTAATACCCGAGTCCGGGAACGAAGGCCAGCGGAGAGGTGGGTTTTCTGACCAGAACTATTTTACCGTGCGGAGCGACACATGCTGCGTCTATCGGATTACACGAAGTTGAGGGTAAACCAACGCGCGAAAGTGTGTGTCTTGCTTGACACGAGGCCACCTCATGGAGTAAACGTAAAACTTTTACTCCGGGGCCACCTGCAAGGCCCACCTGCACGCGCTGGCTCCAACGTTTGGGGAAGACCGGACCCCCCCC